ATAATAGACTGTGTCTTTTATCTTGAAAACATAGTCCAGTTAATTTTGTTGAAGTTCTCTAATTAGTAGTTTCTTTTTCTTTTTTTTTTTGTCTTCATATCATAATATATTTTCAACATGGAATATGTTTTTTATCTTAAAAATGTAGTTTATATTCAAACTATAAAATTTTAAAAATACTTATTTTCATTATATATTTTCATCTATAAAACTTTGACAATTTTTTTCATAATATGTTTCATAATAGACTATATATTTTATCTAAAAACGCAGTTTATGTTGATTCTACTGAAGTTTTATGAGCAGTAGTTTTTGGTCTTTGTCTCATAATATATTTTTAGCATAGACTACATTTTTATATTAAGATTATAGTTTATGTTGAAACTTTAAAACTTTGAAAAATAAATTTTTTCATATTATAATTTCAACATAGACTATGTTTTATCTAAAAAAATGTAATTTATATTGAAACTATAAAATTTTGAAAATAAAATAATTTTATAATATATGTTCAACACAAATTACATTTTTTATACTAAAAACATACTTTTATGTGAATCTTGAGAATTTTAAAAAAAATAATATCTTTCGTAATATATTTTCATCTAGACAATTTTGAAAAATAATTTTTTCATAATATATTTTCAACATAGATTAAATTTTTAGTTTAAAAATGTATTCCACGTTGAAACTTTAAAATTTTAAAAAATAATTTTTTTCATAATATATTTTCATTATAGACTACATTTTTTTACCTTTAAAACGTAGTTTATAATAAATATATAAAATTGTGAAAAATAATTTTTTAATTAATTAAAAACAAAAAATTTATTACAACCTAAAAATTTGCTAAATATATTTTAATTTCTAATAATTATAATATTATTTAAGAAATATACATATGTCAACAATTATAATTATTATATTTTTATTATATTAATTTAAATCAATTGTAAAAATTGAATACAAAATTAATCCTATTGAATAAAACTCAATGCAAGTAAAAATTGAATTAATTTTTATTTTTTGAAAAATGAAATTTAAATATAGGCATTGATAGGTGTCAAAAGATAAGGCTTGGAATGCTTGTGTGTATTTGTTTGAGTTTTAAATTTTTATGAAATTTCTTTGATATTATTCAGGGCAAAAAATGACAATTTGCATTCCAAGAAAAATGTTCAAAAACCTTAGGGAAAGAGGGTTTCAGATTCCTTTTATTTTTTTTTCTTTCTTGACACTATTGAAAATGTAATATTTTGGATTCCTTAAACAATATATGGAAACCATATTAAGGAATCAGATTATAAAAAGGATAAGATTCCTAGAGTGAATCCTAATTTTTGTGAACCAAATGTACCTTATTGTTAACCAATGATGTGGTGTGATCACATCAATAAATGCTTGACAAGCCACAGATCTCCCTCAACTATTCATTGACTTTCTAACATAACAATTAGGTATAGATGTCCTTTTGGCATGACATTAGTTAATAGATTCATTGTTTAGGTGTCAAATTAAAATAATTTTAAATTTAAGAATTTGATTGAATATTTCACTATAGTTTATATGCCATTCATGGCATTAACCCTTTATTATATTATTGAGTAGGTGTTCCTGGTTAAACTTTGATCACTGCTATAGATCAAAGCCTTGAATGATTATATTATTGTTTATGATTCAATGTGGTGGATTGACCCATTGGCTTATGTTCCAAAACCTTATGTTACAATAGCTAGATCCTTTATGTCATGGTGTCCTCTGAAGGTAGATTGGTTGAAAATGAATGTTGATGTCACTACTAGGGGGACTCCAAGACCAGCAAGATGTTGTGGTGTTATAAGGGACTCAAATAGTGTATTTGTGGCTATGTTTTCATGCTTCCTTGGAGAACAACACTCATATGTCTATTAAACTATATGCCATAAAATATGCACTAGACCTATTTTTGAAATTAGAAAGGAAAGCTTGTATAGGTCTCATTATTGAATTTGATTCAAGAGCTATGTTAAATTGGGTTAAAAATATGGAGGTAAGACGTTCAAACCTTCAACATATAGTTGTTAAAATTGAAATTCTAATGTTATGGATTAAAAATGTAAAGTTCATCACAATATATAGAGAAGCAAATGATATAGTAAACGCCTTAGCAAAGGTAGCAATTAACAAAATGGAAAATTTCTTGGCATGATGGTAACCATTAATTCTTTTGATCTATAAGGTTAGGATAGTGGGTGCAGTTATTGTAATGTGCTTAGTCTTCATGTATGTTTTTTTGTAAGGTTTTAAATAATAGTGGCATAAAGATATAGCGACTGTTATTTTATGGTAATGCCACTATCCACCATCGTTATTGATGAAAATTTACAGGATAATCTCAACCCCAATTGTAGCAACACGTCATGACCTTTGCAAAATGGCCTAAAAATATTAAAAATAACAATCTGTTATTCTTGCTAATCCGTTTTTTGTCTAAAAAATTATTTAAAAATTGAGGTGAAAGAAAAAAAAAACACTAATTTAATTCCCACATCTAAATTTAGAATTTTAGCCTCAATCATCAACATCAAATAGCATAAAACAAGTAATTGATTTGAATTTTAAAGGCAAACATATATATAACTTAAAATTACCAGTTTTTTAAATTTTGTTTCTCTTGAAAATCCCTAGACTTGAGTCGACTATCTAGCAGCCATTCGTGTTTCATGATTCTATGACTAGTGGGCAGTGATTGGTGAGCTACTTGGCTTATTGCCACTAGGTGCAAAGGCTTAGGGGTAGAATTATTGATCAAAGGAAAAAAGGCAAGGAGATTGCTTATGCTTCTTATTGGGTATCAATATGCTTGAATCTAATGGGGATTTATAGGTTTGGTTCTGAGGCAAGATGAGAGAGATGACCATGCCTAGAAAAGAGAAAAGAAGTAGAGAACTGAGAAGAAAGGAAGAGAAAAAGTGGATTACAATGATGCTGTGCCCGTGAAAGGTTGAAACCCAAAAGGATGAGGGGAGAAAAAGGAAGAGTGAAAAGCATGTGAACTATGGGAGTGATGTGGATGACTTGATGGGGATCAAGATAAGGGTCTAGAGGGGGAATGGAATGAGGTTTTAGTGTTTTAGTGGGAATTTTGATTTATAAGGAATAGATTGGAAAATTGGGCGAAATTTTTGTAATTTAGGAAAAATTTTAGGAACAAATTTATAAATTTTAATAGGATGGGAATTTTATTTGAGAAAACTTATTAAAAGGAAGTTTAAAATTAAAAATTTTAGAAATTAATATGATTTAAATAAAAAGATTTTTGAAGAAAAGTATAGTCCGTATATATGCATAAAAAACGTAATCTAATATATTTTCTAAGTTTATAATATTATTAAATATGGATGCTTGATATTTAACATATATCTTCTTTGTTAATATTAAATATCATACTTGGCTTGTTGTTAAACCAAATACGAATACTTTATTATCATATGAAAAAAATGGTAAAATTTTTTTAGAGTAAATTAAAGACATGAGATGTTATCAACTACTATAAAAGTCATAAAATAAGAGATTTTATAATTATAATCATAATTACTATATTTAATAGCAAGTTGTACAAAATTCCAAACAAAAAATTCATGATCATGATGACCGTAATGATCGCTATAATCTCTATTATATCTATAACCATGATAAACGTGAAGTGATCAAAATTGTTACCATGACTGCATCTTAAATCTTTGGTTTTCTGTTTAGCTCTTATGCACCTCGGCGAGTGAACTTTTGAATCATGACGTGGACATGATGTTATGTGTCTTCTTTCATTAAAACCATGGCTTAGCAAAAAAATATATATATTATTGAATATTATGTGTCTATGTTTGAGGGTGTGAGCAAAGAATATAAAATAAACTTTTAAAAGACAGTACAAGAAAATTGATACTTTACAACAATCAAAGTCATTGTGAAATAGCAATTTGTCGTTCTTAAAATTTTTTGTAACATCTCTTTGTCATTGTAGGGTCATTACTATTAACTCTATTGATAAATAACAAATGCAATAACTTATTTTGTCATTAAAAAAAAAGACATATTGCAATGACTTTTAGTTGTTGCCATATAAACCATATTTTCACAATGATAAAATATCATTGAGTAAAATTTATTTTAGCAACAATAAATTTTGGTTACAAAAATTTTTATCTAACATTATTATTATTGATGAAAAATTATTGTAAAACAATATTATTTTTATAGCCAAATTTTTATGTAAAAATAATATTATTTTAACGACCATAAAATTTGGTTACAAAACCTCTTACGTAACAATATTATTTTAGTTACATATTATATTACATAGGAATTAAATGTCATTGTTTTAACTTTATTTTAGCAACCTTATATTTTGATTATAAAAACCTTTTATGCAACAATATTATTTTCATTACCTTATAATATTTTGTAGCTTTTTCTAATGTAGTTGCCAATTACTTTTAGCATCATGATTTTTACAATAATAATATTTTATCATTATAAATGTGATAAAAATTTTGTAACAACTTTTTGTCATTATATAAAACATTAAAAATAAATTAAGTAATGATATTTAAAAATCGTTGTGAATAAAACAAGGTTTCGCAACAAATTTTTTTATTGCTATGAATATAATATAAATTCATAATGATAAAATTTATTGTTGTATAAAATATTAAAAAATTCAACTTAGCAATGATTATAAAAAGTCATTGTAAATATAACAAGATTTTGCAATGATTTTTGCAGTCATTACTGTTGAATATTCCTTTTCTTGTAGTGAGGGGATTGGAACCGGTTTTAAGGGTTCCAAGCTTGCAAGGAGTTGAAGGCATGGGATCCTGAGTAATGCCACCTCGTCCGGATACCTTGTTCCAGCGGGTGGTGTTGTGTTCTTCTTTTTCATTCATTTGTTTATTTTCCACGCCTTATACTTTTCTTTGTAGCTTGACAACTTGAGAATTAAAGGGCATGCCTTTATACTTTTCTTTATCATCGTCAGTTTTCTTGCTTCAGCTTGTTCCCCTTTGTCGCCGGTTTACCCCCTTTATCTTCCATTTATTATTAAAAAAGAAAAAGGAAAGACTTAAGCCAGGCGCTTATGCCTAACATTTTGAAGAAAGGAATTTCACTATTTTCCTTTCATGACTTTTCGGCAGAATAAGAAAGCGTCGTGGTTGCCTCTGCACATGCCAGCAAAAGGAATGCAATAGGGAGAGCAGTGGGCACTTTGTGTTTTCCCTTGTGGAGTATCTTGAAGAGAAATGGAGCAAGTGACCTGGGTTATTGAAGTTAATGAAAAACTTAAAAGCATGGTCGACACTGAGAAAGAGAAGGAACATTGGATGAAGCGATCAATCTATAGAATACCTACCGGTATCAAAGACCTAAACAAGAAAGCTTACATGCCTCAGGTAGTCTCCTTCGGCCCTTACCATCATGGCAAAGATCATCTGAAGCCCATGGAGGAGCACAAACAACGAGCACTCCTTCATTTTCTTAGGAGATCGGGAAAATCCTTAGAGTCGTTTGTCGAGTCTTTAGCTGAAGATGTGGAAAATTTGAAAGACTGTTATGATCAACTTGATCCAATATGGCAAGATGACAACAAATTTCTGCAGCTGATGATTCTTGATGGCTGTTTCATGCTGGAAATGTTACGCTCTGCTACTCATACAATGGAAGATTATGATACAATGGAAGATTATGCTCCGAATGACCCAATCTTCAGCAATCATGGGAAGATACATATTATTCCATTTATCAAACGAGATATGTTAATGCTCGAAAATCAATTGCCAATGCAAGTTATTGACAGCTTAGTTGCTGTTGATAGCAATAGAACTAAGGTTGTCTCTAGTCCTTGGACACATTATTGAATCACCATTTGTTCTGTTTTTAAAACAGGTTCTACATTGATGCAGGATGAAGATTTTGTCAACAAACTTATAATCAAGTTTTGCTCCCCTAGTACGCCAGTCTCATGCATGGGACGTTGCTTGCACGTCTTGGATGCGTATAGAAAAAGTCTGCTTCAGGACACACCTGGACTTCGGCAAAGAAAACGTCACCGTAAACCACGTAGCTCACACCATCAAGATGGCGATGACATCATTAGATCTGCAATGGAGCTTAATGAAGCTGGAATCAGATTCAAGAAAAGTAAAACTGTCAGCCTCAAGGACATTACATTCCGTGGCGGGGTCCTTAAGCTTCCTGTTAGCGTTGTAGATGATGCCACGGAGTCTATGTTTTTAAATCTAATAGCATTTGAACGTTTCCATGTTGGGGCAGGCAATGAGGTGACATCCTATATCTTTTTCATGGATAAGATCATCGACAGTGCGAAGGATGTTGCCCTTTTACACTCCAGAGGGATCATCCAGAATGCCCTTGGAAGTGACAAAGCAGTGGCTAACCTCTTCAACTCGCTCTCAAAAGATATTACGCTCGACCCCGATAGCAGCCTAGATGAGGTGCACAAGAAAGTGAACAGGTACTGCAAGAAAGCTTGGAATGAATGGCGGGCCAATCTCATTCACACCTACTTCAGAAATCCATGGGCTATGCTTTCTCTGATTGGTGCCATCTTTCTTTTTGCCCTCACAATAGCACAAACTATATATACTATATATCCTTACTACCACAACTCTCCTACCCCAAGTTGTGAAACATGCCCACCACTTATGGCTCCTCCACCGCTCAGTCCACCACCTACAGCCCCTCCACCAGTACTGCCCATTCCCAAACATAAGGTTCCTCCACAATCCTATCAAACTCACCATTGAATCCCATCCTACTCATAAGATAAGTCTGTTCCGACGACCCCATGAATTTGGCTTGATTAAAGGTTTTTACAAGATTTTCGAAGATAAACTTTCTTTTTAAATTTGATTCGCAATATTGATAACAATATATAAAAGAGGATTTGCTTTAATACTTTTCCTTCGGAATTTAATAGTATTCTAAGAAATTTGGTCTTTGGATAAGCTTGTTCGTGGTTTGATAAGCTTCTGAATTTAATAGCTTGTTCGTGGTGATTTGATCTCTTATGCTCGGTTGTTTACGGTTTTGATGTTTTATTTTTTAATGGCTATCATGTTTTTAGCTATCATCTGTTTTATTTTGGTTTGGACCATGTTTCTACAGGGATTCTACTTTTGTAATGTTTTGCTTCTTATTAATGAAACTACAACGGTGGCTGAGAAAAAAAAAAAGATTATTCATTTTACCAGATTTTGACTAAATATACATTCATCAGAGTGAAAATCCAGTTCAATTAATTATATAAAGAGAATGCCAAAATAATAATTATGTTATAAATTCTCATTGATCAGTCAAACCATTAAAAACTGTCTATCCCAAAAGTAAAACTAAAAAAGAACAATAATATTGGAATTGGATTTTCTTTTTTCTAACTTCCCAACATACCCCAATAAGCGAAAGCTTGGACTGCAATTCCAATGATTCCAACCTAAAAAGTTACGAATGCCATCAATATTATTGTATATATTATCATAATATATGTTTTCTAAAGTGTTTAAAGTATATGTTACAAAAGATAAAAGTTTAAAATCATGTAATTTGCATTTGTCTTGAATAAATGAAATTTAGAAGTGTAAAAATAAGCTTTGGAACGAAATTAGCAAGAGCAGTCGAATGCTCTTTGGATAATAGTTGATTGCACTTTACAATTTGTTTGAAAATTTCTCTAGAATAGTCGAATTCGTCAAGGAAGATATCGACTTCCCTATAGGATTTTATGTTTTATGTGAAAATTTACCAGTGAAATTTGAATGTCATGGCTCAGGCAACCGAATGACCCTATTGAAAATTCAAAAATCTTATTTGTTGGGCATGATACTTTATTCCAATAGTGGTGGTTCTTCACACAAGACATGCCTATCCATGGAAAGCTGTTTCAAACACCAATTAGGACTTATAAATACTTCCATTAACTTTCATTTAACACAACTTTACATACAACACTTGAAGAATTAATTCATTCTCTCTCACTTTTTTCTCTGGTTCATAGTTCAAGTGTATTCAAACAAAAAATTGAAGTGTAATATTGTTCATCTTCATTTTAGGCATTGTATTTTGGGATAACGTTTTCTAGAGTCTATTTGGAAAAACAATTATCCTTAAAAAGCTTCTGGAGAGTGCCTTACCTGAGTTTCTTCATTTCTTTAATTTCTCCATTAATTGCATTAGTCAATCGCAATACTATCAACAATTTAAGGATAATAATCTCTTCTCCAATGGCAACTTCTATCAAACCACATGTCTATGAAATGGACAAACTTGAAAGGTTCAAGACATGAATTACGAGCATTCGAGCATGGAGATTTATTATCAAGTCTGTTTGTTAAAATTTGCTTATTTTCTTCATAAGTAGTATCCACAAGATGCTAGTGAGAATAGACAGTTGATGGTAAAATGACAAAAGTGGATTGAAGATTACTACATGTGTCATCTAACTATCCTTCAAGTACTCAATAATTCACTTTTCAATGTGTTTCACAAACATAATTCAACATGGGAACTTTGGCATGCTATAGAGAAGAGGTATAAAAATGAGGATGCAAGAAACAAGTCCTTCCTTGTGAATAGATACGTGGATTTTAAAATAATGGATTCGAAACTCTTCATTGATCAAGTGAATGAACTAAATGATACTGCAACTGAATGTGATGATACTGGTGAATCAATTTCTGAGACTTTCGAAGTGCCTGCCATCATTGGTAAGCTACGTTCATCTTAAAAGGAATACTAAAGGCATTTGAAGCACAAAAGGACTCTTACCATGGATGAATTGATTAAGCACATCCAAATTGAAAGTGTAGCCCAAAAAGAGATAATATTTCTAATAAAGTGAAAGACAGCAATGTTCATAATATTAAAGATCCTAATTCTTCATCTTCTCGTAAGGTTGAGAACAACTATTATAACAAAAGGCAGTAAAGCTCTTCAAAGTGGAATATTATTTTTCTACAATGTACATAAGACACTATTTTTTCTTTTCATTACAAGACACCTTATTTTTAGATCTTTATTCTTAAATTTGAAGTGTTTTTTTTGTTTATGGCTTTTTTATATTAAGGGTAGTAATAACATCAAGTCTTGATGACTCTTATAATTCATAGTTGATTTCAATTTTAGGTATTTTTCTTGTAAACTTTGTCAGGTTGAACTAATATATATTATACAATTTTTTGTTATTAAAATATAGGACTAATTACAATAAATAGGAGAATTTCTAAATTAATTATATATATCTAATTTTAATTTTTTCTTGCTTCTAATTTCCAATTTTGTGTTTTAATTTTTTAATTTGCAATTCCAATTAAATCTATATTTGCTCAATTTTCTATATTATAGGCAAAATTTTAGTTTATGCAAATCTTTTTTTTTTATTCATGTAAAAAAATAAGTTTTATTTGGACTTGGATAACATAAAATGGGACAACTTTCTCTCATCCCATGTCTTGCTCTCCCTTCTCAAGATTTGAATTAAGATGCTATGCTTTCAATGCTGGAAGATAGTGCACAAAAAATAATATTGTCCTTATAAACCATTAACTCCACCAGTACAAAAAACAAGAGGGATTCATGGAATCATCATAGGCAGTAATGGTGGTATTTGCCTTTTAAGCCGAATCATATTTTGGTTAAGATCTTATTATATTTGTAGTACTTTGATATATGATAGCTTATAAAGGCCTTATTTCTTTATTATTGAGTTTGTATACATATATTTTAATGTTGATACTTATATGATAAAGTTCTCAAAATATAAATAAATCATTGTAAGGGATTATAATGATATTGTAATTATGAGATCATCATTGTATAAAAACTATATCTTCCGAAATTGTTCCTTGTCAATGCTTTATCAATAAGAGGATATTGAAAAAAGCTATTGAAACTAGCACATTGTTATACTTTTACTTATGAAGCAAAAAATCGATCTCATAAGTTGAAGTTTAGGTAAATTTAAGCTAACATGTGGGTGCTTGTTACAAGAATAAGTTCAATGAACATGACTCAATATTAGAATGCTATATGGTAGTTTATATAGTGTCTATAGCTACATTCTCATATGTTGGTTGTATAAGTGATCCTTTGACTTGAGATTAATTATGATCTTATATGATAAATGTTATATTTTGACTTTACTTATGGTTCTAACCAAGAATGCTCCAGTAAAGTATTGTTAGGTGTAACATAAGGCATATGAAAATGAATGAAGTAATCAAGATGGGATTCATCACCTTGTGTGGTCAAGAGAGTATCTCAACTAGTCTTGATTGAATTAACTTGAGAAATCTTTAGCCAAATTGAAATAAGAGTTTAGAATTGTTCTTAAATTTATTTCTGAGTTAATATCAAGGATAAAACTTAACATGTTTAAACAAGATTGAGTAGAGAATAAACCATACTCAATGTTCAAATTAAGATACTATGTGATGAAAGGATATTAGTTATACACTAAGACCATTCACAGATAGGTTGTCAAGCCATATTGACTTTTCTTTAGCAATTAGGGGTTATGGCAATGAAGCTAATATTGATCATGATCAATAAATAGAAGATTAGCTAATTGGAGAATTGGTGATGAAGATAAAAAGTTTGTTTCATCCATAGCCGAATGTTAAGGCTTACAATGCTTATGTTTATTACCAACATTTTAACGAACCTAATGGGTTACACACAATAGGACAATTGAGATAGATTAAAATTGAGACAAATTAATTTGGACTTAATTTGATTTTGACATGACCAAAAATAGAGAACATAAAAACAAGAGAAAGAGTTTCCCTTATTAGGTACATTTGGCTAGTAGAGGGTTAATTGTGAAAGTTTGTATTCTAAGCATTAAACTTAATGTGGCTGAATGCATCCCCTATAAAAATAACATCAATCTGCTTCCTTGTAAGAAACTAAGTATCTAGAGAAGAAAAAAAAGTAATAAGAAAAGAAATTTCACTCAAGAAAATACAAGAGGTCATGCAAACACTTACTAGCTATATTGTGGTTTTGAGTTTTACCAAACCTTAGAGAAAGTTATTTCACAACAGTTTGTGTGGATCACCATTAAAGGCTAAACAATAGGGTAGCTTCTTGGCTTGAAATCTATTTGAAGGATCACCAAATTAAACCAAGGGATTTTTTGTTAAGAAAATGAGGTCCAGCCTCATGTAAATGGTTTTGGATCAAGTAAAGGCCATGGGCCTTGATCTTTCATTTTACACATAGCCCTAGCTACTTAATAAAAAAGAGGTGAGGTTGTTTTAAGGGTGTGTTGAAAACCAAGTAGAGAAAGAAGAAAAGCCAGAAAAAGTAAAGAGAAAAAAGAGAAGGGAGAGTTGGTTGAACGAAAGTCGATTCATGGTCTAATTGAGTTGGAATCTTGTCAGGAGGTTTATGATTCAGAGTTCTACATTCTAAACGGTGAAGATCGGGTTTGAAGCTCTCTAGAAACAAATCCAAGGTGTATTTGTTGAGTCACTTATTTAATTAGATTTCTTCAATTGTTTCTCTAGTTGTTGATTAACTCTAGTTTTAGCTAGAGAAGAACTTTGTATATCTATTATTTGATAATGGAGATTTTTTTAGTGGTCCATGGTTTTTTCTCTCTACACTTGAGGTTTTCCAAGTAAATCTTGGTGTGCTTTATTTTTCTTACGTTTTTTATTATTGATTGTTGTCTATTGCTTCTGTATTGTTGTGATTATTGTTTCAGACGCAACAAGTGGTATCAGAGCGAGGGTTATTTTGAGACATC